TTCCTTAGTGAGGTTACTTGGGCCATTTTTGTTCCAGGCCAGTCACTTTGAGGCCATTTTAGATCTAAAGAGGTCTGGTTACTTTCAAGACCAGATTTATACTGACTCACATTTATATAGCACTTTAAGAAACACACTTCATGGCTTTTACAGTGGAGGGGAAGTGGGGGAAGGTGAGCGGGAATGAGTGACTTTTATTCTCATTGGATTTGGCTTAAGGAGAGAATAACATACACACTCAATTGGGTATGGAAATCTATCCTACCCTACAGGAAAATAGGGAAGAAGGGGAGAAGGGGGGGAGATGATGGAGGGGAGGGCAGATTGGGGTAATCAGAAGCAAACACTTCTGAGGAGGGACAGGGTCAAAAGAGAGTATAGAATAAATGGGGGGTCAGGATAGGATGAAGAGAAATATAGTTAGTTTCCCACAACATGACTACTATGGAAGTGTTCTGAATGACTGCACATGTATAATCTGCATTGGGTTGCTTGCCTTCTAAATAAAGGTGGATGGGGAGAAAGGAAGGGAGAAAATTTGGAACCCAAAGTTTTAAAAACAAATGTTAAAAATTGTTTTCACATGCAATGGGAAAATAAGACATACAGGTAATGAGGTATAGAAATCTATCCTGCCCTCCATGAAAATAGAAGGGGAAGGATATAAGAGAAGGGGGGGTGTGGAGATAGAAGAGAAGGCAGACTAGGGGAAGAAGTATTCAGACTACATGCCATATTGGGTGGAGGGAGGGACAAGATGGGGAGAAAATTTGAAACTCAAAATCTTGTGGACATAGTAGGTACTTAATAAAAGTTTATTGATTATTGACTAAAAAAGGGAAAGCACTTTACATACATTGCAAAGCACTTTGCAAATATTGTCTCATTTGATCATAACAACAGCCTTCAAAGATGAGTATTATTCTTATCATCATTTTACATATGAGGAAACTGAGGCAAGCCCAGGTTAAGTGATTTGTCCAAGGTCATGCAGCTAGTGTCTGAGGCAATATTTGAATCCAGATATTCTTCACTCTAAGATCAGCCCTCTCTCCACCATGGCACCTCTCATCTCCATTTTATAGATGAGGAAACTGAGGTGATTCACCTAGGATCATACAGCTACTAAATCAGAGGGTGTATTTGAAACCAGGTGCCTCCAGATTTTCACCTTTGAAACCTCTCAAAATTGCCCCTTCTTTCCTCTGATGCTGCCACAACTCTGGTGCAGGCTTTCATCTCTTCATGTCTGGACTATTGAAACAGCCCACTGGTGGGTCTGCTTGCCTTAAATCTCTCCTCTCTCCAATCCATTAGACCACCAAAGTAATTTTCCTAAAGTACAGGTCTGACCATGTCACCACCTACCCCCTACTCATTAAACTCCAGTGGTTCCCTATCACCTCATATTCTGGCATTCAAAGCCCTTCATAATCTCGGCGCATCTTATTTTTCCAGTCCTCTGACACCTCATTCCCTGCCATATATCATATTATTCTATCCAGTGACACTGACCTCCTGGCTGTTCCATAAAGAAGATACTCCATCTCTTGCCTCTGGGCATTTTCTCTGGCTGTCCCCCATGCCTGGAACACTCTCCCTCCACAACTCCAACTATTGACTTTTCTAATTTTCCTTAAGTTCCAACTAAAATCATATCTTTATTCACCAACTCCTCTAAATTCCAATGTCTTCCTTTTCAATTATGTCCTATTTTTCTTGTACATAATTTGCTTTGTATTTATTTGTTTGCATGTTGTCGCCTCCATTAGATAACGAGCTCCTTGAGGGTAGAGACTATCTTTTGCCTCTTTTTGTATACCCAGCACTTAATAAAGTTCTTGACACATAGTAAGCACTTAATAAACATTTGTTGATTGATTGATTCTAAGTTTAGTACTACCCCACAGTTGTAAGCTTACTAGATGGCTCACCAGTACTCCACAATTCCACAATGCTATGGCAGCTAGGAGTGAACTATGAGTGAACAAAGTCCATGACCCTGATAGGCTTGTTATTATTTTGTTATGGGAGCTAAGAAATGCCAACCTTGGTTAGTACTTGGTAGTGAGGTATCAATGGATAGAGTTTTAGATTTGATGTTAAACTCCTGCCTCTTGAACAAGGAAGTTTCAGCACTATGAACAAGTCACTTAATCTCTGACCTTCAGTTTCATTATCTATGAAATAGAGAAATATTGTACAAAAAAAAAAGTGGGGAGGACCTACTACATCACAGAGTCATGGCTAGACTCAAATAACATTATATAAAGGATTTTCAAAGAGCTAAGAAAATGTTATTATTTTTTTTTAAAGATGGAGATCTAGAAGGAGTCAGTGTGGGTGACCTCCAGTCAGGAAGACCTGGATTTAAATCCTGTTTCATATACTTTCTAGTTCTGTGATCCTGCCTTAGTCACTCGATATTGCTGTGCCTTACTTTCTTCATCTGTAAAATGGGAGGGGGGTAGACTTCATGATGTCAAAGGTCCCTGCCAGCTCTTAGTTTACAGTCAATGGTATGATTTCATGAGTGCAGTGAATTCCTAGTATGAAAATTTTGTAATTTTTAATCTTAACCACCTTCTGGCAGAAAGATAATGGACTAAATATGAAGAATGAGGCACAATTTTTGACATGGTTATTATGGGAATTTTTTTACTTGACCATGCATATTTGTTACAGGGTTTTGTTTTTCTTTAAAAGAAGAAGAAATACATGCTTTTTAATTGAAAAAAATAATTTTAAAAGCTTTAGGGGTTGCTTCAAGGCATTGAGAGGCTACACATCTTGCCCTGTGGTCACAAAGTATATGGCTGAGGCAGGATTTGAACTCAGGCCTTCCTAGCTTCCAAAGCTAGCCCTCCATTCCCCATAATGCCAGGTTGCCCTTTTCAAAAAAAATTTGAATGGAAACTACCTAAAATTTTTTTTTCTTTCTTCTAAATTGCAATCTTATTGAAGCCAGATACAGTGTTTTATTTCCTCTTTATATAAGCATCATTTTGGACTCTTTGACTTCTCCCCCATGCCTCCAAGAATCTCAGCATTAGGTAATCTCATCATCCTGCAAGATCCAATCAGTCTTGGTATTCAGTACTTTCAGCCTCTCTGGAGGGTAGAGGCATGAATTCTACCTCAATTTGAGAAGAGGATATAGGAGAAATGAGCAGCTAGGTGGCTCAAGGAATAGAGTGCTGGGCCTAGAGTTAGGAAGACCTGCTTTCAAATCTGACCTCAGACACTTACTAGCTGTATGACCCTGGGCAAGTCACTTAACCTCCATTTGCCTTACTTTATTGAAGAAGGAAATGGTAAACCACTCCATGATGACCTTTGCCAAGAAAACCTCATGGATAGCATTGATGTGTTATGGTCCACAGGGTCACAAAGAGTTGTTAATGACTGAACAACAGCCCACGGCAAATACCTTATACTCGTTTTTTTACTTTGTTTTTTAACTTTTCCATCCAAGTACCTTCCTCACCTCCACTCACCCTTGTAAATCAGCTTACTTTTTGTTTGTTCTCTTCTTTTAGATCGTAAGCTCTTTGAGGACCAGGACTGTCTTTCTAGCACTTTACACAGTGTGTACCCCCAGACACTATGTGCCAAGCACATAGTAGCACATAATTAACAAATATTTATTATGTGCCTATCATGTGTAAAGCTGGATAAACATTGGGGATAAAAATAAAATAAATGAAACAACACCTACCCACAAGGAGCTTACATTCTAAAAGATGGAATTGTTGTGGAAAACTTCCCCAGACTTCCAGACGGAAAGCATTCTGGGTGTGACAAAGGGGCCAAAACAAAGAGGGAATGAGTGAGCTTCAAGAAAAAGGAGGGGGTAATGGGGGAGGAAGAGGTATCAGAAAACATTTACCTGCAAATGAAAGGGAGAATCACTCGACCCCCACAACCAGTTAGGAAAAGAGTATCTAGCAGTCCCCACCCCTAGGTAACTGAGACTAAAGCCCTTTCTTCACTCCTTATAGCCTCCAATCCAGTCCAGCTTTCCCATCAAGCCATTATTGCAACCCCTTTCAATTACTCTCTGGGACTAAACCATCTTTTCAGTCCCACGTAGTTCTATGATCCCAAGTCTCTGCTATGGACTCTCCACTAGCTGTTTCTCCAGCAGCAGCTTTTCTCCCGCTTCCCACAACTACCACACTAAAACTTAAAAATGAACCTTAACTATTGGCAACTGGTCTCAGGTTTTTCTCTGGAGGAGAGGGAGGAGCAAAGCAATCAATTGTTATCACTTAAGCAGACGAGTACAAACCCCTGTCAATATGCATATGAATTGATTTGGGTGAGGGGAAGAAGAAGGGGCCGGAAAGGTAGGTAGAAGGTAAATGCTTCTAAGAAAAACGTTGGGAAAAGAGGTGGCAGACCAGCTTGCAAGGAGAAAAGTTACTGGTGAGAAAACCTGGGATATAAATGGAAGCTGCTTTAGTGTAAATGGAAAAAAAAAAGAAAGAGAAAAATCTTTTGCAGGCACCATCCAAACCAAGTCTAGAATTATCTGTTCTGAGCTTAGCAGGTGGTGGGTTCAATATTCTAATGGAGTTATTCACCTATCCAGTCTGTTCCCTTAGTGCTCCGTTCAGTAAGGTGCCCCTGAACCTTCTCACTGCAGGAGGGTGTTCTGCACTCCACTTGCTCCTGCCCCCTGAAGAATTGGGTCCCACTAGGTCTTTTCCTCTAATCAGGATTTCACTTTGTTAGTGAGGAGGCCAAAAACAAGGTTCCTTATTAAAGGGAGGGGAGGTTCCCATCCTGGGAGCAAGGCAAGAAGTAAGCTTTGGGGACGGATGTACTAAAATGTCTTTATAAGAAATTATAAAAGTGAGAGACTGAGGTGTGGGGGCAAATAGAAAAGAGGGTGGTGGGATTGTGTTGTCTTTTTTCTTGGAACTCATTTAGATAATTTGTGTTTCATAGCACTGAGTTTTGCAGAGTGCTCTCCTTATCCCAGCCTTGTGTTACAGGTAATCCAAAATGATTCCATCATACAAATAGGCAAACAGAAGTGCAGGAACTAAATGACCAGGATCCTAGGCTCAGAGGATTGTGGAGTAAAAAGGAAATTTTGTTGAATCTATCATTTTACAAATGAAGAAATTTATACCCAGAGAAGTAAAAGTAGCAAGCCTGGGGGTCAAGGTAAGTGCTGGAGTCTGTGGGCAAACCTAGGACTCCTGGGATCATATCTTTTCTGTTTTTGTCATACTCTCCCTAGGAGAACTAAACCCTAAAAACTTCACCTAGATTCTTTCAGACCTAGAAATGTGACCTAGGTTAGACTGGCACTTAGAATAAGCATGGGGTAGTTGAATTGTGTTTAATTAACTAGAAGTCAGGAGACTGTGTGCTCTAGTTTTGAATATGTTACTGACAGGGTAGGGGAAGTCATTTCACCTCTCCACACCTCAGTTTCTTTATCTGTAAAATTCAAGTCTTGGATTTTGGACCAGATTATTTCTAAAGGTTCCTCTGGTTCTAAATTTTGTGCTTTATAAATCATCTGCAGGACTGGAAATATCCTAATTGAGAGAGATGTATCCCTAGGTGGTTCAGTCTAGGGGTAAAAAGTGCAGGGATCTGGTTTTTATTTGCATTTGTGCTTTTATCTTTTCATCACCAAACTAGAGGGTGGCCCTATAATTAGAACTTTCAACGTTTCATTCATTTCTGTATTTTTTTCCCCCTCCACATCATTGCTATCCAGAATAGCCATACTCCTATTAGCTGATATTTACAGAGCACCCTTAAATTTTGCATACGTCATGAAGAGTGGGGACCAGGGTAGTAAGCCCTAGCAGAGGGTCTTGTGGACTAATACCTCCAGGACTAGTACCTCCTTTTTCAGAACTCTTCTGAGGAAGTGGAACAACCAGACATTCCAGCCAATAATACAGACAAAGCAAAGGAAGGCAGGATGGTTCATGGGACCATGCTGGCAACAGATGTTCAGCAGAGAGAAAATGGGACAGCTGTGATGGCAGCATGGGCCAAGCTGGTGGCAGATGCTCAGGCCAGGATAAAAGCAACAACCCAAAGATTTACCTGGGAACAATCAGAAAGTCTTGAGGAAGGTGGTAAGTCTCCCACACTTTACCAAATTCTACCCTCCTTAAAGGTCTGCTTCAAAGAGAAACTAGTAGTGTGTGGGTTCTTTCTCTGAACTGGGACAGCAAGGATGTGAGTAGCGTTGTGGTCTTGAAATAACCGTATCTTTCATTTTTTTCTCTCTCTTTCAGTTGCATATTTTCCAAAGACAAAGTCCAATACAGTTGCCTCAGCCCCTCAGAAATCTCAGAAAGACGATGTTCCTCCTATGCCCACCCCTCTACCTCCTCTGCATACCTTATCCCGAAATAATCTTCAGGCCTGGTGCCAGAGACTCAATATCAGTAAAAATGGCCGGGTGAGTCTGTCGTTCAAGTCAGATAGTAAGCATCTGTTAAGAGCCTATGTCGAGTAAGGCACTATGGTATGCTCACAGTCTAATGGAGAACTCTTGGAAGGTTATACTACTAAGAGCAGCAGGGAGGGAAGGACCCTGGTTCTTACTGTCCCTGTACCAACTGATTTGCCTTTTTTCTCTTCCCCTTCTTCAGAAGCATGTTTTATACAAGAGACTTTTGGAACATGTGTCACCTTCTGAGCAAGTGAGTAAGTTATAAGAAAGATGAGGAAAGGCAGTCATGGTAAGTGGAGTGAGCATTGGACTTGGAATCCAAGGACCCAGGTTCCAATCTTCTCTCCACTACTTACTACCTGTGGAATCTTGACGAAATCACCTCACCTCTCCTGGCCTGTTTCCTCATCTGCAAAATTTGCAGGATTGAACTAGATGATCTCTAATGCCTCTCCCAGCTCTAAAGCTACTATCCTTTGAGGTTACCACCTTATAGTTCCCCTTGACTCATGTAAAAGGCTGATCAAGACAGTTTAGGCATGGATTCCTTCTTTTATTTTGTCATCACCTCGTTATTTTTATACCTGTTTCACACTCAAACAGCAAACCACAAAATGAATGGGCATCAAAAGGTTTAGGTTATTATCCTACCTCTGTCATTAAATGTTTCTTTGAGTAAGGTGGGCCTCAATTTCCCATCTCTAAGGTTCTTTGCAATTCTCAAAGACTGTGATAATGCATTGTCCCTTGTGACTCTCCATATATGAAAGTGTGGGGGGTGTGGGGGACTATTGAAGTGAGACTGAAGCTTTAGTATCCCTGGGTATTAGTCTTCCCAGCAGTGACCATGAACTCAACTTATAGGACACTCCCAGCATAGAAGAAAAGGCCCAGTGGATAAAAATCAAAACAGAAACTTCAATTGAAGATTCTTCAAGTAAAAGTCAGATGGTGGCTAAAGCAGCAGAGACATTGACAAATAAGAAGAAGAAAAGAGAGGCAACAAAGAATGCTCTGGTCCAGACAGCCAGCATGGCAGCATGGAGCAGACTCATGGCAACAGTGAAGTCCAAGGCGGTATGGCCCACACCCACATCTTCTGAGCCTACTATGTCCAAACAATCAGGTAAGACCAACCCTGCCTTACTTAGCTTAATTAGCCTAGTTAGATGTGGGGTATTCCTGTATAAGGAGGGACTGGAATTTCCTTAGCCTTGTAACTTTGGGGAAAGAGGGGTGACCACAAGGACACCTAGGAGTCGAATTATGACCCATGGAGTAATTTGCATGTTTGTAAAAAGCATTTGTGAAATCAGGAAAATATAAATTAAGGCTCTATTTGAGAGAGAAAATTGACTCTCCCTTACTTAGGGCAATAATTATCACCCCTGCAGATGATGCAGATTGGTTGATTCTTTCCCTTTCCCTTTCTTTTTCTCTCTACACTTAACTATTCCTCCAGTGTAGGATTGTGCCTGTGCACTTTGGGCCAGTCTCACAGGGCTGTTGAATAGACCTAATATACTGGGGTTATATTAGCCAACTTCTAAGTGTTTTGCAGAAGTAAATAGAAAAATTTCCTTAGACTCAGGAGACCTGAGTTAAAATCTCAGCTCTGAAACCAAGAAGCTGTGTGGTAATTGATTGGCAAGTCACTTAAAACTTTGGGTTTATGGGAAGAGGGGGGAGCCAAAATAGCAGAAAAAAGACAGGGGCTTGCCTGAGCCCTTTCAAATTCCATCTAAATAGCTTTAAAATATTGCCTCAAAACAAATTTGGGAGCAGCAGAACCCACAAAAGGACAGGGTGAAACAATTTTCCAGCTCAAGATGGCTTAGAAGGTCAGCAAGAAAGATCTATGGCACCAGAGTGAGAGTGAACTCGGTCCAGTGCAGGCCATGCCGGTGCAAACTGGGTTTGCCCCAGCAAACCAGTAGCAGGCCTTGGGAGTGACTGAATCAGCAGCAGCTGTGGCTGCTTCCAGAGCTCTCAGCCCCACAGATGGTGAAGGGGTCAAACAATTGGTCAGAAGAAGATTACAGGCGTCTCTTTGCTGTCGCTGGGGACAGAACTCTGCTGCTTTGCTTATACTCAGATCTAGGTTGAAGACCAGAATAGTAATTCCAGGGCAAGGAGAAACGCTAGCACACCAGAGCTTGCAGCCCTAGTGAAATGGGGGAACTTCTTCATAGTTCCAGGGCAGCAAACAATGGTTGTGGTCATTCAAGACCAGAGCACAAGCTAGGACAATAGTAACACACCTCACCTTAGAATAACTGAAAACTTACAGGTCCATAGAAGTGTCTATGAAAATAGCTGCACAAAAACCCCTGAAGCTTGGGAAAATGCATCCTCTAGGCTGGAAGCAGAGCCCCACTTTGGCATAGAGTTAAAAGTCAAGAAAAAGGCTGGGGAAATGAGCAAACAACAGGAAAAAATTCTGCCCATAGAAAGTTATGATGAGGACAAGGAAGATCAAAACGCATACTCAGAAGAAGAAAGCAAAGTCAAAGCTCCTATATCCAAAGCCTCTGGAAAAAAAAAATGAATTGGGCTCAGGCCATGGAAGAATTCAAAAAAGATTTTAAAAATCAAGTAAGAGGGGTAGAGGAAAAATTGGGAAAAAGAAATGAGAGTGATGTAAGAAAATCACAAAAAAAAAAAGAAAAGAATCAACAGCTTGGTGAGGGAGGCACAAAATAATACTGAAGAAAAAAAATACCTTAAAAACAGAACAGTCCAAATGGTAAAAGAGGTAAAAAAAATCCAATGAGGAGAAGAATGCCTTGAAAAGCAGAATTGGCCAAGTGGAAAAGGAAGTACAAAAGCTCACTGAAGAAAATAACTCCTTAAAAATTAGAGTTAAGCAAGTGGAAGCTAATGACTTTATGAGACATCAAGAAACAATAAAACAAAAATTTTAAAAAAATGAAAAAACAGAAGAAAATGTGAAATTTCTCCTTGGAAAAATAACTGACCTGGAAAATAGGCCCAGGAGAGAGAATTTTAAAATCACTGGACTTCCTGAAAGCCATGATGGAAAAAAGAGCCTAGACATTATCTTTCAAGAAATTATCCGGGAAAACTGACTTGATATTCTAGAACTAGAAGGTAAAATAGAAATGGAAAGAATCCACCAATCACCTCCTGAAAGAAATCCCAAAATGAGAATTCGCAGGAATATTATAGCCAAATTTCAGAGCTCCCAGGTCAAGGAGAAAATACTGCAATCAGCCAGAAAGAAATAATTCAAATATCATGGAGCCACAGTCAGAATAATGCAAGATTTAGCATTTTCTATGTTGGGGTATCAGAAGGGTTGAAATGTGATATTCTGGGAAGCAAAGCAGCCAGGATTATAAGCAAGAATCACCTACCCAGCAAAACTGAACATAATCCTTCAAGGAAAAAAAATGGATACTCAATGAAATCTAGGACTTACAAGCAACAAAAAGACCAGAGCTGAATAGAAATTTTGACTTTCAAATGCAAAACTCAAGAGAAGCATAGAAAGGTAAACAGGAAAGATAAATCATAAGGATTTCAATAAGGTTAAATTGTTTAAATTTCTACATGTGAAAATGATACTTGTAACTCCTAAAAACTCTCATTACTAGAGCAATTAGAAGGAGTATACTGAGACAAAGGGCATGGATATGAGTTGAATACTGTTGGATGATTATCTAAAAAAATAAAATTAAGGAGTGAGAGAAAGTAATGCACTGGGAGAAGGGAAAAGGGAGAGGTAGAATGGGTAAATTATTTCACATAAAGAGGTCCCAAAGAGCTTTTACAGTGGAGGGGAAGATTGGAGAGGGAGAGGGAGAAAACCTTACTTTTATTGGAATTGGCTTAATGAGGATATAACATACACATTCAGTGTATATAAATATATCTTACCCCACAGGAAAGTGGAAGGGGAAGGAAATAAGAGAAAGGGAAAGTGATAGAAGGGTGGGTGGATTGGGGTAGGTAAAAGACAGAAGCACAACACTTTTGAGGATGGACAGGATGAAGGAAGAGAAAAAGTAGGATAAACAGAGGGGGAAATAGGATGGAGGGAAATACTCAGTGATAATAACTGTGACAAGTGGCTGTGATAAAGACCTCATTACTCAAATATTTAGAGAACTAAGTCAAATTAAAAATAATCCATTCCTCAACAGATAAATGGTCAAAGGATATGATAAGGCAGTTTTCAGACAAAGTAATCAAAGCTATTTACAATCATATGAAAAAATGCTCTAAATCACTATTGTTAGAGAAATGCAAATTAAACAACTCTGAGCTACCACTCTACACCCATGAATTTGCTTAATACAACAGAAAAGAAAAATGACAAAAGTTGGAGTGGTAAAATTGGGACACTAATGCACTGTGGGTGAAGTTTTATACTGTTTCAACCATTCTGTAGATCATTTTGGAACTATGCCCAAAGGACTATAAAATCATGTATATCCATTGACCAAGGACTATTACTAGGCATGCATCCCAAAGAGACTAAAAAAAAAAAAAGAGGAAAAGGACCCATATGTACCTATATTTATAGCAGCTCTTTTAATAGTGGCAAAAAATTGGAAATTGAGGAGATGGCCATCAATTGGGGAAAGGCTGAATAAGTTTTTGTAAATAATTATGATGGAATACTTTCCTGCTATAAGAAATGGAAGCAGGATGCTCTCAGAAAAACCTACAAGGACTTCCGTGAACTGATGCAAAGTGAAATGAGCAGAACCAGGAGAATATCGTACATGGTGGCAGCAATATTGAACAATGGTAACTGTGAATGATTTAGTATTCTCAGCAATACAGTGATCCAAGACAATTCTGAAGGGTTTATGATGAAAAATACTATCCATCTCCAAAGAAAGAACTGGTGGAGGCTGTATACAGATTGAAACATAGCTTTTTCTTTGCTTTCTTTATCTTTCTTGGTTTTTTTGTTTGTTGTCTGTATTTTCTCGTTTGTTTGTTTTATAGGAAGCAATTGGGGTTAAGTGACTTGCCCAGAGTCACACAGCTAGTAAGTGTTATGGGTCTGAGGCACCATTTGAACTCAGGTCCTCCTTACTGCACAGGGCCGGTGCTCTATCCACTGTGCCACCCAGCTGCCCCGTGGTCTGTATTTTGTTTTACAACATGACTAACATGGAAATACGTCTTGCATGACCTCATATGTATACCAAATCGCTTTTCTCAGTAAGGGGGAGGGGGGAGAGAATTTAGAACTCAAAAAAAATGTTAAAAATAGTTTTTGCGGCGCTGACCCGCCGGAAGCAGTTATTTTCGTTGCCCCGGAAGAGACTGCAGGGGTTGGCTGGGGCCTGTGGGGTGAGAGGGAGGGGGAGAAAGGGAGGGGGAGGAGGAGGAGGAAGGGAGAGGGAGGGGAGGGGGAGGGGCGGCCCTCGGGGCGGGGGCTGCAGTGGTGGGGAGGGGAGGGGAGGGGGAGGGGGAGAGGGAGCAGCGGCCCTCGGGGTGGGGGCTGCAGTGGTGAGCGGCCAGAGCTCCGGCCGCCACACAACCCATAGAACCGATGAGAAAGGGCGTTGTTAAAATTCCTAAGGAAACAGAATATAATTTCATAAGGAAATAATGGATGGAGAAGAGAAGACATCCTGCGGGTGTGAGGGCCCGGATGCTATGTATGTGAAATTGGTATCTTCCTATGGTCATGAATTTATTGTAAGGAGAGCCAGCTTTAACATCAGGAACAATACAAGCCAGTTAAGGGGCCCGGGTCCGTTTTTAATTAATGAGGTTAATTTTAGAGAAGTTCCGTCACTTGCCATCAAAAGTATGCTTGTATTTTACCTGCAAGTTCGCCTAACAGCTCTACAGAAATTCCTGAATTCCCAATTGCACCTGAAATTGCACTGGAATTGCTGAGGGCTGCGAACTTCCTAGATTGTTAAATAAAATAAATTGTAATAAACTGTTAACTTTTTCAGTATTTAATACCTGTAGTTCATTTAGTAACTTTTTGCATATAGGGGGAGGATTGGTTGAGAGCTGTAAAGTTCTTTGCAAAGCAGATGCTTTCAGTCCTTTCTTTTGCATAGCAATCAGAGTCGAAATTTGTTTTGCACCTTAAATAAAATAAGGACAGTTTCACTAAATGAGAAATAAACAGATAGGCCAATTAGTAGATGGCTATGCCTTATCCTTTAGATATGATTTTAAATATTAGAACAATGATTATATTAAGTATTGAAATTTAGGCAAATACTACAGGTTTATACTGACTATTTTTAGAGGTTTTGTTTTTTGTAATTTTTGTACAGGTGGGGTTAACTTGAACCTACTGTATCATAGCTGCCTGGCATTAGTTATGCAACTATTTTGCATTGTCAGCTTGTGTTTATAAATATGGCTTGGCCAAAACATTAATTTTTTTTTTATTTTGGTAGGCAGTGGGGTTAAGTGACTTGCCCAAGGTCACACAACTAGTAAATGTTATGTGTCTGAGGTTGGATTTGAATTGAGGTCCTCCTGACTCCAAGGCCGGAGCTCTATCCACTGTGCCACCTAGCTGCCCCTCAAAACATTAATTTTTTAATAACTCTTGAATACATAAGAATTGATAAATTGCAGTCTTGTTGGCATATCAAAGTGTATCTTCATATCTGTTTTTGTCATACAACCTAAGTGGTACTTTTAAACCATTATGGAAGATTGTTATGTTTAACTTTTGCAGTAGTGAATTTTTAAGAACTTTGGCCAAGCTGTCAATAAGTAACCACAGTACTAGATAGCTTTGGGTCTGAAAACTTAGGGATAGTCATACAATATCCTTTTTGAGCAATCCAAAGTACTGAACTTAATCATCTAGCTAAGAAAGCTTCCTTTGCAATTTACTTTTCACTTACTACATTAATAGATCATTACTTAAGTGTATTAAAATAAGATCATGGCAAAATTTATCCATTCCCCCCCCCAAAAAAAACTAGAATTGAACCAAAAAAAGCAATCAAAATAATCTTTATGGGACTTAATAAGTGGAATTCATGGTAAGAACCTGGCATAAAGTGCCTTAATGTTTTGTGGGTTCAGTTTTATTGATGGTCAGATCACGTCTTTGTATATAGTGGCTGTATAAAGAACTGCTGATATTAAGGAACAAAGCCTATATATTATAACAGGGATAATGACTACACCAGTGTAACATGGCTTTTACTTAGTGAAAATGGGCATTACTTTAACCTTTAGGATTATGAAGGACAAATAAAAACTTCAGTCAGGATATCTCCTAGATATGGAGTCAAGAACATGAAGGTTGAGTGTCAGCTTTCTACTTTTCAAATAGCAGAGAATTAGTTATACAAATGTAAATTTAAATACTAGTGACTAGATTCTTTTAATTCCACAAATTACCAAGAAAAAAAATTTATCAGCAAACTTAATCATTTTGCTTTTAATCGTCATTGAAAACAGTTGGTAGATCTGTTTTAGTAATTCATTAAGACAAACTCTGGTTCATATACACAGTACTGAAGTATTTACTAGTGTTTGCTTATCAAGTGCAGGGATTTTTAATGCTAGATGGTGACAAAAATACCAATCATGTACAGATATGATGATCTTATAGGTCAAGATGGTAGCAGAAGCTACATTTCTAATGGGCTCTGTCCTAGTAGGTTACCTTTTTAACTCATGGCTACATTTGAACACATCATAAAATACCAAAATTGATGTCCACAGTTTAGTATGGCTAGAATTCAGATAAGGAGAGATTGTGTATTTCAAAAGTGGTACTGCATGATGAGAAAATATTTACTAAAGAATATGAAGTATTTTGTATTGCATATGTAGTCTGGGCTTATTTTCAAAAGCATTAAATTCCTCAGTTCATGGTTTTTATTTTCACATTAGGCATTTTCAGTCATTGTATTCTTGTATACCCAGAATGATTAGATATCACTTATTTGGTTTAATTTAAGTGATTTTAATAGTTTGTATCATGTTCAAATCTATAATTGTTTCTGAAATTGATATTAGCTTATTTTTGAAATTCCATTTAAAACCCTACCCTAGTCTTTTTTCTGCATTGTAGCATTTGCAGCACATAGGCTTCGATTATAAATTAAGGGGGAAAAAAAAACCTCTCTAGGTCTCAGTTTCCTTATCTGTAAAATGGGAGTAGCAATACTTATACCACACATCTCACAGGTTGTCCCAGAAAGTGCAATTTGTAAATCTGGAAGCGCTATGAAAATGTGAATTGCTATCTTATGACTTTAAGAAAGGAGATCATGGTGCATTAACAGATTATAAATATAAGTACCTAATAAATGCTTATTGATCAGTTGATAATGTGTATATAAAGGACTGGATTATTATTGTACTTCTTGATACTTTCTCCATCTCTCTTGATTTCCCTCCTCTTTTTTCCTCAGATTTACCACGATGGTGTGTAGTACATGGTGAAGCTTTTCCTAATGATGTCTCTGGTTCAGCTTTTTTGGAGTTCCATGCTGGACAGACCTGGGTGCCTGAAAATGATGTATTGATTCCTCTCTTGTTATTGCCTACCTGTTCTTTCCCACCCCCAGAAGTAGAAGACAATTGGTTGTGCCCCAGATGTGTTTACAGGTAACTTTGAGGTGCCTTTCTGTATGGAAACATTGGACTGGTATCTTCAGTCATTCATGGGGGACAGGGGAGTAATACTGTTTTTCTTGATTATCCATTTATCCATATAATTCAAACAAAAGTTTGAAGTGAAGAGAGAAGTTGTTAGGTCTGAATAATTGAGTTAAATGTGACTACACAGTCCTGTTCTCAGAACGGATATTGGGATTTTTGTATTATGTTGAACTAAGGAAAATTGAGAATATAAACCTCACTTCCCCAACCTATACACATTTCTGGAAGAAGGAAATTAAGTGATGTGATAAATAGACCAGGCCTGGTTCAGTCTGGCTGATAATTCAGATTCAAGGCTAGAAAAAAATTTTTTTAATATTTGTAGACCATTTAGCAGTTTCCTTTAAAAAAAAAAAGGCTAAACTAGGCAATGGGTGATGGAGTAGGCACTCAGAGCAGGGAAAAATATATTTATTGATTTAATTGAGCAATTTCCTAGAATTAGTCGTGCTAATGATTGATCAGAAACCTAGGGGCTCAGAAAGAAGCCTCAGACTCCTGTGTATTTAGCTTTTCTACGCAAGTAACAGGGAAGCAACATCAATAGCCCAAGCTTTAGTCCTCTGAGCCAAACAAATTTCGAGGATAATTTCAGCGACTTTTAAGGAAAAGCTAGCCTAACCTCATTGGGGTGGGATCATATGGACAACTAGCCCATTTCACATTGCAGGGCACTTGGGTAGATATATTTCCTCCCACAGGTGGGATATCTTATTTCACCTTATTTTCTTGTCTAGACCTCATTTTGCCCTGTTCATCATTCATGGAATAATTTCCCATAAAAATTGTTTTCCTTATTTACTGGCTGCCACTTATCACTCTTTGGGGGGACGATATGAAATAGTCTCTTTGACGCCAGGCCAAGTCACTAAGCTTGTCTCAATTTCCTTACAGGAATAAAATCCTGGTGGACAATATCCTGTAACCACAAAGGATCAAGGCTACAAGACTGTTTTTGACTTGCTCAAGATACTGACTTATAATTGTGACTTTCCTTCCGTCAACTTAGATTTTTCTTTCCCAGTTAGTTCTTGGTGCTGCTCCTGTTTCCATTGGGAAGCAGTTTCCTTCCACCTTTCCTTTCTATTCTTTAGTAAGAATAGAAAAGTCCGTACAAGTCAACAAGATAGGAAGGATCTGACATTACAACCAAGTCCACATATTACTTGGTTTTGGTCAGCAGCTCAGGACAGAGAAAGGTGGATATCTTACAGCCAAATAAAATTTAAGTCTCTTCACCTTGACTTGTCTGTCTTCTCCTGTTTTTTTTCTGCTAAACCACCTAGGACTGAATGGCTGTGAATTCCTGAAAAACAAACAACAACAACAACAACAATAAACCTCTGTAGAATCAAAGGTAACCAAATTCTTTGAATTTAGCTGAGAAAATTACTAACCTTGCATATTCTAATATACAACTTCAACGAAAATTGCTGCTAATTCCATGCTGACTCCCCCGTGACTCCATTCACTGGCTCCAGAGATAGCACATAATTCCAAAATATTTCACACAGTATGTGATTCTGGGGGAGAGAAGACAGAGGAAAACAGTTAATAAGGAGATAGCACAAGCTGTTGTTTCTTGGTTTAGTAAGACTATTTCCACACTCAATGTGATGCCATGGAAGAACTCCAGCAACTCTGGAACACATGCATTGAATTGATCTTCAGCCTCTTCCTCTACCTGTGTGACTTTGAGAAAGTCATTGAACCTCCCTAGCCTGATCCTTCACCAGTCAAGTGAAGAAGTTGGACTAGATGATCTCTGAGTTTGCTTCTAGCTCTCGATCCATAATCCTTGGATAGTTTGAGCCAGACAGGAGTAGTTTGCAACTAAGTGTAGAACTTTATCAATATACAAGTGTAAGTAGAAAATAAGCTTCCTTCCTAAGTCTCTTGAAGTTTAAGACACATCAGAGTTACTGATCTGAGTAGATGGTGTTAAATGTCCTTAAAACTAGTGGGTAGAAGGCTAAGAAAGACTGCCTTACCAGCCAGTAGTCACTTAATTCTTCCAGCAATCATTAAGCACAGGGTGTCCCAAAAGTCTTCATGCAGTTTTAAGCTTTGATATTTTAAATACTCTTGGGATACTCCACATTTAATGAAGTGCCTACTAAGTTCCAGGCACAATACTAGGTGTTGGGAATAGGAATACAAAGAATTCAACAGTGCTTACTCAACATGAGCTTCCTATTCAGTTTTCCCTTTTGTTCTTGAGTAAAAGTTAACCCTTATTTTAAGTAGGCATTTCTCAAACTTTGGGTGACAGAGAGTTATAAGGGAGATATAGAAGCTTAGCTGTGCTACTTTATCTCCTCACTACCCAGAGCACAAATTGCCTCCAGGTTTACCGCCTTCCATATCAAATAATAATGCTTGCCACAGAATTGTAGAGTTGGAGGGGAAGTCAGAGGTCATTTAGTCCAATTACTCCTTGAAGCATGAAATATATCTACAATATTCCTGACAAATGGTCATCCGGTTCCTGCTTGATGACCAGGTAATTCACTATCCCTCCCTACGTACAATTCCAAAGTGTCCATTCCATTTGGGACACATCTAATTGTTAGAAAGTATTTTCTTATATTGGGCCCAAAACTGTACCCCCCTCCAAAAAAAAAACCGCAAAAAAAACCCACTGACTTCCATCTCTTGAATCTAGTTTGGTTCTCCAGAATAAATCTAATTCTTCTTTCAAAAGAAAATTCTTCCAATACTTTAAGGCAGCTATCTTATCCCTCTTAAGTGTTCTCTAAACATTCTCGGTACCTTTAATTGATCCTCTTCCAGTATGCAAGTTCTCATGGTAAAATTAGCAAATTTGAAGATTGGAGGGCTGCTGACTACTGGCCCACACTATATGTCATTCTTAATTGGGAAGTTCTATTAACTATGTACTTTGATAGATTATTGGAAAGGGGCTTATTTCTGAGAGAAAAATGCTTTGAATCAGATATGTATGTAGATCCTGATTTGTTTTTAATTAGTAGCAAAGTATTGAGTCCCTTCTGAAGTGCTATAGTAAAGACATTGGACCATAAGGGGTTAAGGATGCTTCTTAATCAAAGTATAATTAGCTAATGGTCATACTTAATGGTGGAACACCATATCCTCCGTGGACAAGGGAAAGCAGATTTGAAGAATCAGGTATTAGAAATGTAAATCTTGACTTATTTTTGAATCACTTGAGTATGGAAGGTGAGAAGATCAGGGAAGGTTGCCTCATTTTTTTTTTGTGGTGTCTTCAGGGGGCCAATGATATGTTCATGATATGCATTGTTGTCTCTTCTCTATACATGACCAGACTGTTTCCTTCTCCAGTCACAGATATGTTCTTTGATTTTTAGTCGCATTTTTGGGATGCAGGTTGTCATCAGCAACACCCATAATACATCTTTCCATCATCCTCTTTACAGTTAATTCTTCCAAGGTTATAGTATTCCATGATTCCTAGCCATGTAGCGTCACCAGGAGAATACTGATAACAAGCAGTTTGGGATCACTGAAAACTGACATTTCCCAAATGCAATCCAGTCATGGGAACAGTCAAACAATCTTTCTCTCCTACTCAATTCTGGATCCAGTTCATTATCCATCTGTTGCACCTGTCCAAAATACATATTAATGGACTAACTCCACGGGTTCGACATGAGACAATATTTATGCCTTCTCCATTGTTTGTCCAAAGTGGATTTTAGACTTTTGCCATTGCTATGGAATTCACTAATGTTTTTCAGTGTTCCAGGACTCCAAAAATTAGTTTGAAGGTCTTTGCCAATAAGAACGTTTGGAAAGCCTTGCCAACGAGAGAAAATGCTGCTTTTAATTTTAATGGGGTTCCTTTAGTTTGTCTTCCTTATTCCAAAGCAAAATTTTCTTTTCTCCAAATAATGTGTATTTATGTGTATATGTATACACATACATATATATGTGTTTGAAAATGTGTAATTTAGAAAATACACGTGCATATATACATATACATATGAATGTCTATACATACACATGTGTATGCACACATATATAATAATAGCTAACGTTATATAGGGTTTACTATGTGCCAGGCACTCTGCTGAGTGCTTTACAGGTTTTACATTTTCTCACAATAGCTCTAGGAGATAGGTGCTATTATTAGCCTCATTTTATAGATGTAGAAACTGAGGCAAACAGGTTAAGTGACTTGCCCAAGGTCACATACAGCTATTAATGTCTGAGGCTGGATTTCAATTGACTGGAATCAGGAAGACCTGAGTTGAAATCTGCTCTCTCTCTCTCTCTCTTGCTGTCTCTCTTTTCATACACACACACACACACACACACACACACACACACACACACATTCCCATTTATCTTTTAGGATCTCTGAGATACTGGTATAGAGTAACATGCTAAACTACAGCATAGCATAATAGCTAGAAAGGTGTCCAGGGAGTCAGGAAGACCTGAGTTCAAGTCCTGTTTCTGACCCCTAATAAATGTGGGTCCCTGGGGAAATTATTTAGCTTCTCAGTGTCCTAGGCAATTCTCTAAGACTAGTAGGTGTCAACCTTGAACAATAGGAGGACTTTCCTCACCAGACAAAGCAAAGGTCTAGTTCTTATCCCTGTGCCCCTGATTTAGCAGTGTGGCCTTGGGTAACCTCTCTTCAGCCTCAGTTTCCTCATCCGAGCATTTCCTTTCAGCTATGAAGTTAGATGATCATGGGACAATATTGTTTCTTTCCCTATGATTATCTTTCTCAAGCACCTTTTAATTACTTGCAGTAGAAAAGCAGAATAAATGTTAAAGGTGGAGGCTCTTCCCCAGGATCCTGAAGAGGTGGCCTGGTAGCTGTCTTTGCTAGCACAGTTGGTCAAAGACAGTGACTGTTCTAGTTGTTATCTGCACCTGTCACTGCAGATCATCCACCAAATCTAGATCAGATTGTGTGTTGACTGAATAAACTTTTATCCATTGCTTCTGCCCTGAGTTGGTGCATGATTAATTAAACAAAGACAGGAGACAGTGAACAGGGAGGCCATATTTGGGAAGAAGTGTTCAGTGCTGAAGAAACCAATTAGCATTGATTTTTCTTAGGCAGCCAGTATGATTAGCATCAATCTGTGATGGTTGATTCACTTAACAGCCAAAATCATCTTCAAATGCGCAGATCTGACAAGGTAGCTCTCCTGCTCCAAAGCCTTCAGTGGCTTCTTGCCCAAAAGCTAAGACAGACTCCTTGGCCTGGTATTCAGCACCATGTTCCAAGACATTTAGCTTTGTTTTTCTTTATATACTCTATGTGGCAAGTCAAATTGGACCACCACTTATAGAAACCAATTTATTTTGGCTCCCAAGAGAATTTTCTCTCTTTTCTTTCTTAAAGGAGCTAGGCACCAACTCTTTAATGCCATCTTTCCTGATGGGGAAGTGAGGACAGGTAGTAAGAACACTTCCATGATAAAAGTGACCTCTAATTTCCTTAGAGTAGTTTGCCTCCCACTTTACTTTATGACATGCATATTGTATACATCATGCTCAATTTTAGTAGGTTATGACCTCCCTGAGATCTTCATGTGTTACTTTTTATCTCTATGTAGTTTAAAAAAAAAAAGGATGAAAAAGCAAAGGCCTCCTCCCTCATCTCCTTGGCATGGTAAAGGCCTCAGAATAAAACTTCAGTGAAGAATATGAAGTGTTAAAATAATTAAGTCAAATGGCCTCACATATATAACAATAATCACAATAACAGCAATAGTTAAATTTGCTCTAAGGGAAATTTTCAGAATAAAGGTTTCATTTCAGTTCTGTATTTCATCCCAGCACAATAAGTACATTTCTTCATCTTAGCACAGTGAATAGAATGCTCCCGTTTGCTTTGTAAGCTATCATTAAACCTTTGCAATCTTGCAAACCTAAGTGCTTGTGGTCTGGTCTGCTATAGATTCCTCGCTATGGTATTTAAAGCCTTTCACAATCTGGCTTCAGTTGACCTTTCCAGTCTCATTTCGCATGTCTTCCTTTTAAACATTCTACATTCCAGACAAACTATAGTTTACCACTCCATGAACTCAATTCCCTCTCTTCCCTTTGTGCCTTTGGATAGACCATCTTGTGTGCATGGGGTTGTTTTCTTCATCATCATAAAATGAGTAGCTTTTTAAAAACTCAGGTCTGGTGTTACCTGCCTTTGCCCTTCAGGCTCCACTCCTGACTCTCTGGATTTCTTCAATCATGCTAAAAAACGTCCTTGACCTGGAAGTTCATGTCATCCCCACATTTCTCACTCTGGAAGTATATTCCATTCCTGTGGCTC